AAAATTTGTGGTGAGTGATCCTGAGACTGACCATAAGGGCACGAAGGAGGGTAGATATTTCCTTAGGGTGAAACAATGGACGGTCTTGGAAGACAGATCATCCATTAACAGAACTTTGTTCTGGCCTGGAAGCACACGGTTAAGCCCAGGGGAAATACTTGCTATCTTGAGATGTCCCAGAGGCAATAACAGGATAAATTTAGAAATTTTGCATACCCCGAGGAGGGTGACTGTTCCTGGAAGGGATAGGCCTGGAATTAATCAGTTAACCAGCAAGCAGAATTTAGTGCTTATCACATGGAATATCTAAAGCCTCACCTCTTTGATCGCATTTTTTTCTGAGGTGTATACTCCTAATAAATATGATGTTGACCAGGCTTTTGGCACTCTGGATCCATGAGATCTTGAGTCCCCTGGTCCCATCTTCGCTCTTTGTTTCTTAAGTCTTGCGTCGCCTGTCCTCAGACACGGTCATGAGCTGCACTGGACGCAGCAGCGTTGTTTGGCTGTAGTGGATGATGTGACAGCAGTACACATCCAGGAGGGCTCGTGACTGTCACTGTGTTCCCCCTTGCAAGAGAGTCCTGGACAGCCAGCAAAGTGAGTGAAGTTGAACACATATGTATATTCTAAGTGACGAAAACAAGGTGAGTAGATGAAGGATGCTCATTTCAATGCAAAGAGGGAAAAAACTGCCTATGCATGTGTTTAGAAGTGCATAGAGTTTTGGAAAGATACACAAGAAATCAAGACATGGTTAACAGCTGTTTACTCTCATAATGGAGGACTTTCATATATATTTTTATATACTTCTAAATTTTTAAATTTTGAAATGATGAACACAGAAAGTTGTAAGAACAGTACATTTTCCCCCCGCCCTCACTTGAGAATAAGTTGCCAACATGCGTCCTGATCACCTTCAAATGCTTTATTGTGTATTTTCTACAAACACAACGCTCTCTTGCAGATCTGCTGTAAGGCAACAGTGAAAATCAGGAAATTTACACGGATAGATAACTGCCATCTAATCTGAGGACCCCAACCACGTTTACCAGTTCTGTCAATAGCCAATAAATATACTTTCCACTGCAAACTGTGAAATTTGTACTGTAGGTATATCTTTAAATTAAAAAAAAAATAGGGGGAAGGGTCTATCTCAAGTGGTAGAGCATATGCTTAGCATGCAGGAGGTCCCAGTTCAATCCCCAGTATCTCCACCAAAGATAGATAAATGAATAAACCTAACTACTTCCCCCTCATAAGATATATAATGTATGTATATATACACACACACTTGAACAAGCAAATAAAATTAAAAACAATGAGCTCTGGGGGACCAGAAGAATTCAGAGGTCCTTCCCT